CCTCACCAAAAGAGAGGACTCTCAAGTTGGACTCACTTCCTCACGGTAAGAAGAGATTGAGAGAGTAGATAAGGTAAGGGAACAACGTACCTGGAGATAGCTGCCCCCAACCACAGAGTTCTCACCAATTGAGCTGATGTTGCATTTGATGACCGGTCATGACCTCGGTACCACCCACAACGCAATGTAGTGCCACCTTAGTCCAATGTCACATCAGCATGCTCTCATCATCAATCAAACATTCCGCTGTATCCCACGGCAAACAATGCCGTAATAGCCTTCCGGTGCACCCCTCTCTACCCAGGCCGTGCACCTATAGTGGCCTGACGTCACAAGTACCCACTGCAAAGAAGCATTATCAACGCACCAAGTCTGTACAACGCCAGCGTGCCAAAGGTAAGTGGCGATCAAACCAGCTCCGATACCAAATTGCAAGGAACATGAGGATGGACGAAGCACAGAAATCCAGAATGTAAAATCACACTGAAGTCCAAGTGTTCAAAGCCAAAGCAGATAGCACATGGAACCGAGTAACTATCCCATTGAGAATGATACAGAAGAATCGTGAGTCAATGTCCATGCCCAACAGGGCAACACCAACAGCATAACCCAAATGTAGCTCTCTCTTGTGAATGGTGCCAGGCGCCCTATCTACTCTACAGCCTATCCTACAACTACAGCAATGAACAGCAACCAGACAACTTGACTACCAGCGAGTGATGATGTCAACACCAATGCAGACCTCCACCATCACCAGGTATGTGTCCTCTTCCCCACACGCTCCCTTGTTACCCACACAGCGCCCTTCACCTCCGAAGTACCACCTTCGCCCTTCATCCCTCTGCGCCCTCTGCAGCCCGGCTATGGCCGCCAAGCGCCCAGTGCACRGGCAGCGCCCTACCGCCTAGCGCATGCCTGCCTTGCACTACCTCTTAGCGCAGCGCAGCAGCCAGCAGCTCGCATTTGCGCAGCGTGCCGGCATTGCCCGCAATGGCCAAGATCCCYGCTRCCTCRCCCTGCTTGCCTATATGCCAGTGCAGCGTGTGGGCGGCCTCCCTTCAGCCTGTGACCGGGGCCCAGAGGCTGAAGCCAACTYGATACAGTTGGGCCCCKGGGCAATGCAGTTGCSCCTCCTTCATYAAGGCCTGCGGCCAGATTCAGACAGTGGGCCGATTTCCCTTTGGCATTTTCGGCCTCTCTACCCAGCATGCATTGTCGGCCTCACGTTCGAGTGCCCAGGGCCTAACTAACTCAGAGGCCCTGGGCATTTCAGCATTTGCTGAAATCCGAGACTCGGTGCACTCCAACCAACTGGCGTGCTGCAACTGTATAGACCCCACTTCGTGAAATGTTGGCACAGAGGGCTCTTGTTGATTTGTTGGCCCGCCTTCACTTAGGGCGGGCACTAGGCTTGCTGGGGCCTTAGCCCAGAACATGTACATCATGGCAAGGCCCCTACTTGAGGGCTCAATCCTCACAAGAGTATTCCAGCCTTTCCAGATACAAAGGAGAGGAGAGGAATAACAATTACTCCCACCTCTTGATTATGAGCTCTGTCCCGTGACAAAATGAACAATGATGTAGATAAAAGAATCTCCTAAGAAACCCAAGGAATAATTTATACGAAAGAGCTTTTGAACAAGCCAGACAGGAGATGTCGGAACGGGAAGAATGGAGAAACAAGGGCTTAAGGATGAGAGCCCGAATGAAGGAATGGGAAGAGGTCGAGAAAATGACCAAATACTTTTTCAGCAGAATCAAGACAAACGCAAGGAATGCAAACATAGTAAAGCTCCAAACAGAGCAGGGACTGACATCAAATCCACAGCAGATGCTAGTAGCAGCAGCAGACTTCTTCCAAAACCTCTATACATCAAAAGAACAGAACTACTCGCAACAGGAAACCGCACGTGCAAGAACCAAATTCCTGACCCATTTAGACAAAACCATCTCAACAGAACAGGCGTCGGCTTTGGACAAACCAATCTAAGAACAAGAGGTCTTTGAAGCACTGCAATCAATGAAACCAAACAAGACCCCAGGATTGGATGGACTATCCAAGGAGTTCTGGGTCACCTTCTGGCCAGCTCTAGGCACAGAATACATCCAATTCCTAGAGAAGGCATGGAACAAAGGCTCACTAGGGGAATTCCAAAGCACGGGAGTAGTATCCCTAATTTACAAGAAAGGCGACCCAGCAGATATCAGAAACTATAGACGTATCTCTCTGCTCTCAGTAACATATAAAATACTAGCTAAATTGCTAACCAACAGAATTAGAACAATCACTAGGAACTGCTTCCACATCGACCAGACAGGATTTATCCCAGGAAGATTCATCCTGGATAATGTAATGACCCTCAACGAATCAGTCAGATACATTCAGGATAAAAGAATGAACGCAACCATACTATTCTTTGACTTCGAAAAAGCACAATGTATGGAAAAAATGGGGGTAGGTCCGAACTTCAGAAAATGGGTTCAAGTCCTATACTCAGAAGCTCAGGGACGAGTACAGGTAAATGGCCATCTGTCACAGCCATACCCAATGTCCCGTTCGGTAAGACAGGGGGACCCGTTAGCAGCCCCAATCTTTCTCTTCATTATGGAGGCAATTGCCTCCTTTCTAAGAAAAGATCCATCAATTGAAAGACTGGTAGATGACGGGCAACATCCAATCAATATACCCACTACCATCCTCTTCGCGGATGACTTGACTGTCTTAATAAGAGCCTCAGACTCTTCCTTTCAAGCTCTCACTAGAGCCATGCAAGCTTTCCAAATCGCATCAGAAATGAGAATCATTTGGCCCAAAACAATAGGCTGGTGGCTAACAGACCCACAAATTAACCCCCCCCAAAGTACACCGGTAGGAATGAGCTGGACACGTGGCAACGAACCCCTCAGATTCCTAGGAATCCAAGTTTCCAAACATGGCTCCAATCAAGCAATGGCCCCAGCTATAATGAATAAGATGATTACCAAAATGGGAAGTTGGTCCAATGTCTACACCTCAATATACGGCAGAGCATTGATCCTAAATGCATCAATCTTCACAATGATGTGGTGCGCAGCCACAATTTGGAGCCCACCTAAGCAGCGAAGAATACAACTCAGAAGAAGGGCAGCTGCCTATTTGTGGACCGGTGTTCCATCCACGGTTAACTTCATCTCTAAAGTGGCATGGAAGTATGTCACTCTGAGGAAATCGCAAGGGGGTTTGGGAATCCTGGACCCGGAAATTCAAATCAAAGCCCTTCAAACAAAGTGGATCATCAAAATGATAACTAATAACAACCTACCCTGGAGCAAACTAGGCCTCCACAGAATACAACAAATAGCCAAATACAAAACCCCGGACAACATGCGTGGCCTCTTCTGGCTCATGAATAAATCTTGGGCGATGAAGGGTGGGGCGCAAACAGAACACCAAGGGAACCAGGGTGAAGAAGAGGGGGAGGACTTTTGGAGACAACTTCTGAAATCGTGGAGGAGATCCTACCAGCCAAAGCAAGAGAACCAACAACTAAAGAGGAAGTCCTCAGACAACCAATCTTCTGTAACCAAGCCTTGCTAGACCCACAAGGGAAACCATGGACCCTAACCACAAAAGACACAAAGTGGGGTGCCTGGTTGGAAAAAGGAGTGTGGCAGGTCAAGCACATGTGGCATGATGGGGACAAGAGATGGAAAACGGTAGGAGAGCTAAGAGAAATCCTGAGGGGATGCCACAATTTACAAGCGAACCTGAATGATATCTTAATATCAATACCACAAAACTCGCAAGAGCTACTGAAGGGCAGTGGCGAATGGAGAACAGGGGACTGGGCAACACGACTAACTGAAAACATCCCCACTACCGGCTATCAGTTCCGTTCACGGGAGGGGCCAGGGAACACATGGTTAGTATGCGACATATTCTCGATTGAAGATCCGGGATCAACCACAAGCCTCTTAAGTCGTAACGCTTCGGGAGAAATCGCCATTCCAGAACAAGCAATGAGGAAAGTCAGAGTGGTAGAAACTGAAGAACGACGCATATATGAACCACTCGTGGGTATAGCAGATTTGGAAATTGACCCATCGGAATGGGCTAGGAAGAGAAAGTCAGGTAGGCTAGGAATAGAGAAACGTAATAACATTCTAGAATACTCTACCAAACTGGGATATACACTAAGAATGAGATCGGTTTCAATAACTCAAATCATCAACCAAAGATGGGAATCTCACCTCAATCTGCCACCGAATCAAACCCTCATCAAGTCATGGAGTAGGCTACTAGCCATCACCTCTACCAGAATAAGAAGCTTCCAATGGCTACTCGCCCATCGGGCTCTTCCAGTTAACAAATGGCCGAACAAGAGAAGGAATGCACAGTTAAGATCCCCGATTCAAGAGTTGTGTGCTATTTGTCCGGAGGGATTGGTAGAAGATAAAGAGCACTGTCTGCTAAGCTGCCAGAAAGCCAAACAACTCTGGACTCCAGCCTCCCTACTTTGGCACTCGATCACGACAAAACAATGCCATCGGAGCAGTATCTCTCTTACTTGGCCTGCACATTCATAGCTCTTGGCGAGGATTCAAAGTGTCTTTCTTCCACGTGCTTAGGCTCGCGACATTATGGATGGTGTGGAAACATAGATGTCAAGAGACGATTGATAGCGTAACCATGTCTCCCCAAGAAGCTTGGGAAGGAGTTTTGCACCTAATAGAGGTTGAATATAGAGGAAGGTGGAAGAGAACCTGCAGGAAAATACAAGAGGATATCATAAACAAAGACAGAATAATAGAAAATTTCGTAAAAAAACAGTTAGGTGAAGGAAGGATAGCTAAAATAGACCACGACAAACTGCACTTTGCACAATGGCGACATACCCAACTAAGGACACAAGGGATAGAAGCCTCTACAAGCAGAACTCACCTTACGGATATTGCAATAGGAGCGAATTAAGAAGCAAGGCGCTAACATAGACTCCCACAAAAAAAAAAAAAAAAAAAAAAAAGCAGGCCTCCCTGGGGAAAGCGGTGAGGAACCGGGTAAGTCAGCAGCAGGAATAAGATGAAGAACTATTGAAGCGCTTTAAGAAAAAGGTACTCGGTGATGGAATGGTAGAATCAATCCAAGGATCACATTTAATCTTCAGATGGAGAGGGGGAGGGCGCTGAGCATAGAATTACAGGGAAGAATGAAAGGGGGGACGGAACTCAAGCAGTGCAAGGTAGGGTTTAGGGCTTAAGAAAAAAGGGGAAAAAGAGGAAGGGATTCAGGGTTAATGAGTTGAAGGAAGGGTTTAGGGGTTAAGGGTTATAGTAGGATGAAAACAGAGAGAGTTTTAGGGTATAAGAGAGGTAAAGTCCAAATGGACGTCTTGGAACAGATAAATCAGGACAGCATTAAGACTGAGGGTTTAGGATAAGGCTCAGACAGAAACAAGGCAAAAAGCTGCTATAGAATTTTAGAGGCTTCAAAAGGCATATAAGTGTTCCAGAAAGCTCTAGTATAATCATAGATAACCGACAGCTTCTTAGCTGAGAGGAGCAGTTCTGGGATCAGATAGATTGGCAAGAAGACTTAGGGAAGGCTAGATTAGGCAGGGGTGAGAGGTGGTACATCCTTCCTCAGGGAAGTAATCAATGCTGCCTACTCGGGCCTCTCAGCCATAATGGGGAGGAGCGTGTGTGAGTCCTGATGTATTCCATATTGACTTGCCGGGGGAATAGGAACCGGACTGCGCTCCCCAGAATGGTAGGAGCCAGAACCATGAGGTTCTGAAAAAAAAAAAAAAAAAAAAAAAAAAGAATGATTACAATGACACAGAGGAGCAGGCATACATGGAGCATGATGATGATGATGATGATGATGATATGGAGGATGAGGAGGATGCTACAGAAGGTAAAGACCATGTGAAGGGTGATGATATGGACAGTGGACGATGATGATGATGGAGGATGACATCATGATGATGGTGCCGACGCCGACGCCGACGAAGACGATGATGATGACGATGACGATGATGATGATGATGACAACGATGATGATGATGGTGAGGAGGAGGAGGAGGAGGAGGACAGTGATGACGATGGCAATGAGGAGGAGGAGGAGGAGGAGGGGGAGGAGCAGGAGGACAACGATGAAGATGATGACCATAACGAGGATGATGACAAAGTTATCAGCACTATCTGATGGTAAAATGATGATGATGATGATGATGGTGATGATAATGAGAGTGATGAGAGAAAAGTATACTATGCTTGTGGTACGGTTCTGTGCTGTGGGAATGACAATCTTACTTGAAGAAGTTGCAGCCACCCTCTCTCGTTTCACACTTGTAAAACTTGCGGCCACGGTTGGCCTCAGTGTTGGCAGTGAGGAGAATGCAAGGCTGACCACATTCACAAACAACCTGAACGGTTGATGCACTCCCGGAGCTCCTCAAGGATCCATCTGCATATACATACACACAAAAAAAAAGATGAATAGTTCCTTAATCTATCACAATTAAAATCCTTGTTTTATGTTTTGAATTGCATGGCAAGGAAATGAAGAGCAAGAGGGCAAAGTGAGGCAACTGATGGCGAGGCAATTTCTGGGACACAATACTTGTAGCCCAGGGTACCACCCTGTGCAGATTTGTTTTTTTTCTCAGCACCACGAAGTTCAGCTACCACATACCGATTTCAGATCCCTTAACGTTTCTTTTTTGAAGCATTCCGACTGGCCAATTCGGTGAGCGTGTCAGCGAAGCCACCACCAACATGGCCGTCAGGGCTGTTGCGTCACCACCCACACATCACACGATCGTGCTTGCAGCAGGCATCGGCTAAGGTGCCATCAAGGAAACTGGACTCAGTATGATGAGTCACCAACATGTGAGGGAAGATACAGGGGGATCAGAAAGGACCTGGGTATCCTGCGGCTGCACCTACGGTGCGCGGCAGAGAGGGCAGGGAGAATATAGATAAGAGGGAGGAGAGCAAGGTGGAAGCGAGAGGGAAGAAAAGGCAAGAACGAAGAGCGGATGCTGAGGGAGGAGATAGAGTAGAGAGGTATTTTGAGCACTCCACGACTAACAAGTGAACGACAAGTATCAATGAGTAATGACAAACACAATCCTCAGCTGAGAACCTTGCAAAGGTGAGTTTGTCGGATCTGTAAATGCAGACCTACTCAAGCCGTGGAGAGAGCAACAACAAGCGGGAAGAAAAGAGAAATCTGGAGGAGATATACAAAGAGGAGACTTCGCTGGAACAAAGGCGGTTAAGAATGCGACAAGAATGCTACGGTGCGTTTGATTTTACGGCGAGTGGATTCGCTGCTCTCGCAGTCGCAAAAGTTCAGGTGTCCTGGCCAACTCTAGTACAAGTGAGCCCTCAAGCTGGAAGGTTAACTCATAGATCAGCCTATCAAGCCCATGAATCTCTCAGAGCATTTCACAAGCGCTACTCCTCTTGCCTACGTAGACAAATACAACAAATACCACAACGGACATTGTCAAACGAGTTTCTTCTTGCCATCATATGAAGACTAATTCGGGCTCTCAAATGTTTGGAGTAATGATAGTTGCCTACCTCGCCTTAGAGTCTATCTGTTGCATACCGTATAGGTGCAGACCAGAACAAGAACCGACCTTTCAATACAAAGTATAAAATAGCACAGCGGAAGACTTAGATACCAATGATCCGAACAATCAATATTGCAATGCAGCCCCAAACATACATCATCATCCTCATTCCATGGTGTGAAGGGGTCTGGCGCTTCACACAGGAAGAC